GACACAGACACAGACAGACCGAGACAAGTAGGCCTACATAGATAATATCCCCAAACGCGCGCGCACGAATAAAAAAAAAACATTGCGGAAATAGGACGAAAGGGAGAGAAAAAGTGAAATAGAAATAGAAAGGGAGAGTGAAGGGAGAGGGAGAGTGAAGGGAGAGGGAGAGTGAAGGGAGAGGGAGAGTGAAGGGAGAGGGAGAGTGAAGGGAGAGGGAGAGTGAAGGGAGAGGGAGAGTGAAGGGAGAGGGAGAGTGAAGGGAGAGGGAGAGTGAAGGGAGAGGGAGAGTGAAGGGAGAGGGAGAGGGAGAGGGAGAGGGAGAGGGAGAGAGGGTTAGGAGGTGAAGGAGTACGAAAGGAAGTGGGGAGAGGAGAGAGAGTTCATTGGGCATGCCAACTCTGGCTGACTTTACGGTTTATTACGGCCATCTCGCCGTAACTAGTTCAAGAGCACATGATATTGACATCGGATTTTCGCTTAGTTCTGATTTATGTCTTTGCTGGTTTCATCCTCCCTTCTCCACCACCCCGTATCCCCTTTAACTTTTCGTTTATTTACCTTTTCCTTTCCTTTTCATTTTATTTCTTTACCTATTGAGGAGGGTATAATGTTTCACATGTTTACACAACCAACTTCTGTATTTGCACCTACACCTTTTCGTTTACTCATCTGCTTTTTTTTTCGATGCATTTCATTACGTATTTACCGGTGTCGGGGGTGTGCAATTACTTTATCCCATTTTTACACAACCAAGGTATCAAGGTGACGACTCAATTTTGCATAAGTTACCTCTCGCTACCTCTCGCTACCTCTCGCCCCTCTGCCCCTCCGCCGGACACTCGCCGGGGCCGGAGATAAGCCCCTTGAGTCACAGGAGCGGTTGTTATGAGCGGAGAATCGAGGGGAGATGGCCCTTATCTGCGTCACCCCGCGGGGATCTATTGTTAACGTGCGTGTCGGGGTTGGGAGGAGGGAGAAGGGGTAGGGGGGAGGGGGAGGTGGAGGTACAGGTAGAGTTAGAGGTGGAGTGGGTAGTTTAAGTGGGAGTGGGAGTTGGAGTGGGAGTTGGAGTGGGAGTGGGAGTGGGAGTGGGAGAGGGAGTGGGTAGTTTAAGTGGGTAGTTTAAGTGGGTAGTTTAAGTGGGAGTGGGAGTGGGAGTAGGAGAGGGAGAGTGGGAGAGAGAGGGAGAGTGGGAGAGAGAGGGAGTGGGAGAGGGAGAGGGAGTGGGAGAGGGAGAGGGAGTGGGAGAGGGAGAGGGAATGGGAGAGGGAGAGGGAGTGGGAGAGGGAGTGGGAAGGGGAGAGGGAGAGGGAGTGGGAGAGGGAGAGGGAGAGGGAGTGGGAGAGGGAGTGGGAGAGGGAGAGGGAGAGGGAGAGGGAGAGGGAGAGGGAGTGGGAGAGGGAGAGGGAGTGGGAGAGGGAGAGGGAGAGGGAGATGGAGAGGGAGAGGGATTGGGAGAGGGAGAGGGAGAGGGAGTGGAGAGGGAGAGGGAGTGGAGAGGGAGAGGGAGAGTGAAGGGAGAGGGAAGAGGGAGAGGGAGTGGGAGAGGGAGTGGGAGAGGGAGTGGGAGAGGGAGGAGGGAGAGGGAGAGGGAGTGGGAGAGGGAGAGGGAGAGTGAAGGAGAGGGAGAGGGAGTGGGTAGTTTAAGTGGGAGTGGGAGTTGGAGTGGGAGTTGGAGTGGGAGTGGGAGAGGGAGTGGGTAGTTTAAGTGGGTAGTTTAAGTGGGTAGTTTAAGTGGGAGTGGGAGTGGGAGTAGGAGAGGGAGTGGGAGAGGGAGAGGGAGTGGGAGAGGGAGAGGGAGTGGAGAGGGAGTGGGAGAGGGAGAGGGAGAGGGAGTGGGAAGAGGGAGAGGGAGTGGAGAGGGAGTGGGAGAGGGAGAGGGCGAGGGAGAGGAGAGGAGAGGAGTGGGAGAGGAGAGGAGAGGGAGTGGGAGAGGGAGTGGGAGAGGGAGAGGGAGAGGGAGTGGGAAAGGGAGAGGGAGAGGGAGTGGGAGAGGGAGTGGGAGAGGGAGTGGGAGATGGAGAGGGGAGGAGTGGGAGAGGGGAGGGAGTGGAGAGGGAGAGGGAGAGGGAAGAGGGAGAGGAGAGGAGTGGGAGAGGGAGAGGGAGTGGGAGAGGGAGAGAGGGAGAGGGAGTGGGAGAGGGAGAGGGAGTGGGAGAGGGAGGAGGGAGTGGAGAGGGAGTGGGAGAGGGAGTGGGAGAGGAGAGGGAGAGGGAGTTGGGAGAGGGAGAGGGTGGAGTGAGGGTGGGAGTGAGGGTGGGAGTGAGGGTGGGAGTGAGGGTGGGAGTGAGGGTGGGAGTGAGGTGGGAGTGAGGGTGGGAGTGAGGGTGGGAGTGAGGGTGGGAGTGAGGGTGGGAGTGAGGGTGGGAGTGAGGGTGGGAGTGAGGGTGGGAGTGAGGGTGGGAGTGAGGGTGGGAGTGAGGGTGGGAGTGAGGGTGGGAGTGAGGGTGGGAGTGAGGGTGGGAGTGAGGCGCCTACTAGAGAGAGAGAAAGAGGAGAAGAAGGCGAAGGAGAAAGAAATATGAAAGAGAGAGAGAGAGAGAGAGAGAGAGAGAGAGAGAGAGAGAGCGAGCGAGCGAGCGAGAGAGAGAGAGAGAGAGAGAGAGAGAGAGAGAGAGAGCGCGAGAGCTACGAAGGAAGAGCCGCTAAAGAAAACCCGAGCCCGCCGCCCACCTCAGCCTTGAAGTCGCCCGTCGCGAATCACCAGACACCTGACGAGGCTCGCCCCATCCTCGCTGACTGGCGTGAGCTCGTTCCCGCCCAGTCAGCTCGCCAGTCAGCAGCGCCGTCAGCGGCTCGTCTGGCAACCACACGCGGGCCTTATCTCGCGGAATCACGGATTTTTCTAGAACAGATTTGAAGAGATCGGGTCATGAGTGGGCGACGAGGAGTCATTGGCTCCGTGGTCTCCTTCCCTCCCCTCATCTCATCTCCTCCTCCTCCCCTCCCCTCTTCTCCTCCCCTCCCTCCCCTCTCCTCCCTCCCCTCCCCTCCCCTCCCCTCCCCTCTCCTCCCCTCCCTCCCTCTCTCCCCT